AGTCGATGACTTCTTGTCTACCAGACTGAGTGTCCTACGACACGTTCGCGATGCAATGGCTGGAAGCTAAGACCTGCAGAAAGAATATGCATATGAAAAAGGAAGAGGCAAAGTAGAAAGCTTTAAGGTCGAGGACCTGGTTTTATTAAATTTTAAAAAGCTGACTACACATGCAGCATCTGCTATCTTCAGGATGAAGCTTCTTCCGCGGTTCATGGACCGTCTAAGGTTGTGGCCAAACTGGGCCAAGCGTATGCGCTGAACCTTCCCAAACGGATATGTGGACGTGTAACGATTGAGTAACCGCGCGTCTCGCTTCCATAGCGGGATCCGCTGGGCGGAAGCATATTCCACTTGAGGGTCAATGACTGACCATGGATGGGCGCGCATCAGAGTCGCCTTATGGGCAGCTTGTAATTGCCGTCTCTGTTCCCCGTCGAGGTCATTGGTGATCACACCACGTCCCTCAGTTGACGAGAAGTCAGGAAACGGACTTGTTTTCCGCAAGGCGCGAGCAGGGCTCGTATCAAGCTGCTGGTGCAGCTCATCTTCCTCGTCATCCCATTCGGGAAAGGGAGTGTCAGACTCGTAGTCGACCGATCCCGCATCCTCAACGATGTCACTCGTCACTGATAGCGTGCGCGGAGCGCAACGCTTGTGCTCATCGAGCCATCCCTCGGTGTCGCAGACGAACTGTCCGATATTGCACCGCTTGTGGGAGACGAAGTTGGGCTCTGCCCGTGTGCGCTGTTGGAACCAGCGAGGCTTGGTGCTTCAGTGTCGTGGACAGAGGGCTCATTGAGCACGGCAGTCGTTTAGATTTAACGCAGTGTCTGACGGACACGCAAGCCTCGTTGAGGCAATAATCGATTGGAGCTGTAAACGTTCTCAATATTTATGGGGGAGAGTGTGACGGGGCTACACATACCCTGGTAACAGGGGTGTGTGTCACACCAGATGGGCATGCTGTGACCAGACCCAAACAAAAATGCTAGATAGCCAGTAGTTATACATGTATTTAGATTTTACTATATATTTAGGAAAAACTACACATTCAAAACTAAGGGTTTAGCCGTAGATAAAAATAAATAAAATCAGTTTTGGATTTTAAACGGAAGAGATAATTAGCATTAAGTAAGGCAATAATATCTCTTGGAGTAAGCGGATTGCGATCCGCTAACTCGTACTTGTTTTAAGTATAGAACGAAAGGTCGGTGACCAAAGTTACGCTTCCGAAGCTACGGCAGCCCCGCTGCAAAATACATGAAAGATTAACTTGCAGCAGTTCTACCTCTCAAGGTACTTATTATAGCTGTCACACCATCCGCTGCATTCTGCTCAGAAGCACTTTAATACAGACTATAAGTAAATTTTGTACTCAATATTTCAAACAGGAAATTGTTCGATTTTTTGTGCTTCTTAGTTAAACAGCGCAGCAATACGTAGTTGACATCTTCTCTTTATTAGTTTCATCGTAGATGTAGACCACTGGCATTGTCCAAAACTTACTCCTCAGCCAATATATGTACATTACACAAAAAAACTAATGCATCGTCTGAGAACTGACCAATACGCGATCGATTCATATTTCGAGAACAATCAAGGTTGTTTTCTCTTCTTGATAACCATGCCACCAGACATCACATTGACACCACTTCGATGAACTTATCTCGCCAAATAGATGGATACGATCATACACATTAAGAT